GGCCTCAGGTCAGAAGTCACCATGAAGAGATTTATCAACACTGGAAAAGGAAAAAAGAGGGAATTTATCAGTCACCAGAGCTGAGACTGAACAGAAGAGCTCATCCTAAAGCTCCCCTTGAAAGCAGCCCTGGCATCTGGCAAGTTATCCAAGATGATTTTACCTTTCTGCTTGGGTTTGTAGACAGGTTTGTCAGTCTGGATGAACACCGAGGAGCCCTTGCTGTCGATGGTGACTGTGGTGTAGTTGTGGAAAACGTGCCCTTCCTCTGCCAGGTGCCTGTTGCCCCAAACCTTCAGGTGTGCTTGTCCACGAAGCCCTGAAGGCACCTAAAAAACACCAGGAGGTGAGGAACACACAGAGAAACCTCTGAGCTTTTGGGAAATGCAGTTGACACTGAAAGGAGCAAGAAGAGGCACCTGCTGTGCTTTGGTGTCAATCTGTGCTAGTAGTGAAAGGAAAATTAAGGCCATAATAGGTTTTCTACAATATATAAACTTCAAAGGAGGTAAATTCATGCTGAAACCATGGGAGGAAATTCTCTTCTGCCCTTTATCACTCAAGCAGAGTGATGGGTGATCCATGATCTACACATGCAGGTGTATTACACAGGGAAACCAACCCAACAGGGGGAGAAACCCCAATGAGCAACACACAAAAGTCCCCAGAAGAAAAAGTGCATGCATGTACATGTTCAACCAGCTGCTCAGAGAAATAAGCACTTCAAAATTACTTCAGATTAAAAGTGACAAAATAAAAAACCTGACACCATTCCAGATGCACATAACTGGGTATTTTGTCCCACCACCCCCCTTTAATCTCCCAAAGATGACAAGCCTAAATTAAGTCCTAAGTTAAGAAACCCAACACTTTTAAGGGCTTGTTCTTCTAGTTCAGCTCCGTTTTGCCAACATTTGAAGTCCTAACTCCCACACAGAATTCTGCCATTCTTATAAAACAAACCCAACACATAAATTTATGTGGAGCCATGAGCCACTGATTTTCTTTAGTGGTGTAAAGGTGAACTGTGATGGGTTGAGCTGTGTTGTTTTCACTCTCCACCTTTCCTCTGGTGAAGGCAGTGTCCTCCTCAGTGTGTTCCCAGAATGTGACATTTATTTGTGCCACCAATGCTTGAGGGAAATCCCTTATGTGTTCACCAAAAAAATCTTAAAATTATTGATACTCACCTTCAGCTTAATTGTTCCTTTATCTAAAATATGAGAGAGAGAGAGCAGGAGTTATTCTCAAGGTAAGGCACCAAGAATTTAAATGTTTTCAGCTGAGTGAAGGAAGACCCCATTCACAGAGCTGCTCCCTGCACTATCCCTTTGCTGTGATTTTACCTGAAATCATTTTCCTGCACTGTGTGCAGGGTGAGCAAGTCAGACCCAGAAGAGCTCTCCAAAATAAACCTGCTCCACATTTATTCACAACTTTTGCCCAAGTTAAAATTGCAAAGTGCTCTGTGATTGGAGAGCAGCCCCAAGGCTGAGCTCAGGGCAGCCTCTTTGTGCCTGCTGAATTGTTTTGCTCTAAAAAAGACCTGGCCTCTTTTGGGACCTCAACAATTCTCAAAACAAACACTCCAGGGATCTGTTTGGATTGCTGGATCCAGCCATACCTAGGAGTTCTCTGGAGCATTTGCTGCCCACATGTGTCAGCATCACTGACACATGAATTGCTTTGCAATTGTCAGCCACTTTCAAAGACATCAAGGGGAGGACACAATCAGAGACAATCTGTTCCAAGAAATGGAATGGCTTTCATAAAACTCCCAGTTTTAACACAGAGAAGAGTTAAAACATGAGGGTTAAAGAGCCCGATTGCCTTGACCACACTGTTGTACCACAGGGCTACTGCACTTCACTTTCAGCACTGTAAATTCACTCAGATATCATGGATAACTGGATATCATCAGATCACATTGATTTTACTCACAGGACAGGGGTATCTGGCTTGGATTTTAAAGATTTATCCAGCTACACAAACATCACCACCTGTCTCAGCAACACCCAGTACTGAAGATGGGGATTGTGCTCCCAGCACTCATTTTGGAGAGAAGAAATTGATGATGATGATGATGTCGATTTTTAATTTTTCTTAAAAATAAACTTATAAATATTCAGGCATCAAAAGGAAGTAAAATCACTGTAAAAATCTAGAATATCAGTTATCCTGGGTCTCTGTATATCTTGGTGTTCCAAAGTTATCAAAGTGTTTGAGACCAAAACCACATTACCACAATCAACTGAGGAGGTGCAGCAGCAGCAGCAAATCCATTTGTTTGATGCCATTATCACCTAAAGCAACTCTTTAGGAGATACCAAGGTGCTGCCCCAGCCCCTCAGCTCATCAGCCAGCGCTCAAAGCTCACCCAGGACTGTCCCATGGCTCCGGGACACCGTCTCCCCCTTGACCACCAGCTGGATCTGCACCGTGGTCTCCTTGGCAGAGTTGAAGATGGTCACACTTATGGCTTCCTCCACCCCAGAGCGGAAAACAGAAGGTGCTGCAATCAAATAACCCCTGAGGAGCACAATTGGAAGTGGTCAGTCAAGACACAGCCACAAGGAATGGCTTCATTTGGGAGACACTTCTTGTGTGGAAAAGGAAAAGAACAAATACCCTGTGATGCATTTGTCCCTGTAGGGTCATGTTTTTTGTCACCAGCAGTCTAAGCCTGTATCTAATGTATAAATATAATTTAATGCATAATTATCTAAGCCTGTATCTAATGTATAAATATAATTTAATGCATAATTATCTAAGCCTGTATCTAATGTATCTAATTAATTAAATTATGAGGTAATTTAATGCATAATTATCTAAGCCTGTATCTAATGTATAAATATAATCAAATGTATAATTATCTAAGCCTGTATCTAATTGTATAAATGAACAAACAGAGCCTAAGTGGCTACAAATGGCTACAAATCCTTAGGATTTAAATAAAACCAGTAATATATCCATGTTTATTGCATCTATAATAATAAATTCATATTAAAGTGAATAAATGAATGAATTAATATTCAAGTGAATAAATGAATGAAACCCCATCCATTTATCTACTATATGTAACAAACTAAATGTCCAACCAGCTAATCATAAAAGAGTTAAAGTTCATGAAGGAATAAGGAGGTACCTGAACATCTCATAGAGCTTCATAGCCAATGCTTTCTTTGAAACAACTTTAATATTTTTAACTCAATCATATGGCTCCATTTTCATAGTTCAGCTTTATATAGGAGAAGTGAAGGGACTCAGAGGTGATTTTTGGAGCTTTCTAATTGTCAGGCTCAAGGCATGTAACACACCTGACCTTGCAGTTTCCACAGAAGCAACCCAGAAACTGCAGCTACAAAACCGAGCTCGAGTTCCCAGCTCTACCACCACATTCTTGTTCAAACAATTGGATCCTGCAAGTTTACAAAAGGCATTATTTTAGGAGGCACACAGAGAGCTTTAAAGCCACCCAAAACGACCTCCCATAGATGCTGCAATGTGAGAGTTTCTGAATGGAATCCGCACCACTCCTCTCTGAATGGCACCGTGCCATGAACTTGTCAGCTAAAAGCATTGCAGGCTCTGAGCTCTTTGATGCACTGGGCTGGAAGCAACACATTTATATTCTCTTCATGACACACCTTTCTGGGGTTTTTCCCCTACCCAAAAGGATTTTTTTTTTTTTTTAAACAAGAGGCAATTCCTCAGATGCCTTTTCAAGCCAAATTTCTCAGCCCGTGCCTTTCTACAGTCCCATGAGTCAGGTTGCTTTAGCTCATGATTAATTATCACTTTGGGATGAGGATGATGGGGTTTTACAGCCCCCAAGTAATCTTTTATCAAATTCCAAGCCCATGTTCCTCTCTCAGCAGGCCTCATTGCCATGGAGATCCCATTACCCCCCAAAGGAAGTTCAGAACTCTGTGGCATTTGAGTTAAATTGCACGGGGTACTTGCAGATTCGAAACCTTATGGCTGCCAGCTTTGAAAATTCATCAGAATGGCAATAAATAACAATCAAAAGTTACTACTGAGCCTGAAATCTTGGGTAAGAGAGATAGCAGAGGGAGAAAGAGTACCAGCTGCATTCAGGATGAAATGATCAGATTTAAACTGTCATGAGCCCAGCACTGCAGTGCCATATGTGAAGCACATGTACTCACATTGTTCCGAATTGCTGAAACTCCTTCTGAAGTATCAGTCCCTTGATACAACTATTTAAATAACCCAATAGGTGGTATTTGAAAATTAAATATTGAATTTGGCAATCAAAGAGTTAACTTGACAGGGACTCGACAGATCCTTTAAGCACTTTTAACTAACAGCTCTGTCAGGTTACACCAAAACTTGGCAGGACGTGAAATATTTTCTAGTAAGCAAGTGAGCATAAGTTCTCCATGGCACTCAGTTAATGCAGCTATTCACGATGCTGCCGGGCTATAATAAGCCAGGGATAAAGAACAAAGCAAACCTTAATCAAAATTAACCTAAACATGCCGGAAAAGAGCTGCGGATTCAGTTCCTAATAGTGCGGGGAAAGTTCTCTGACTTTCTGCCCGGCTGATCTTTCCCACAAAAAACAACAACAAAAAAAGGAAAATCTTCACACGCTGCTCAGGAGCGCCCAGCGCTACCTTCAACCACCCCCAGCACCGCAGCAGGCGGATTCCTTAAATAACTGCTGGCAGATAAAAGCTCCGCTCCGGGAGCAGCTGCACGCAGGTACCGCACGGGAGCTTTCTCCTCCTCCGGTTCCCTCTCCCCGCGCTCCGGCACCGCTGGGGACACCGGGGAGCGCCGGGGAAGAGCCGTGGACCGCCGGGGACAGCGGGGAAGAGCCGGGGACACCGGGGACCGCGGGGAAGAGCCGGGGACACCGGGGAAGAGCCGGGGACCGCCGCGCTCCATCCGCGACCCCTCCGGCCGCTCCGCGGGCTTTGTTCCGCGGTCGTGACCGGGCAGAGCCGCTTCTCCCCCCGCCGCCCTGCCCGGGGATGCTGCCGCGGGGTCCCCGGTACTTACTGGCGCTGGCGGGGCTGGGCAGCGCTCAGGCTGCAGAGGACGAACAGCAGCAGGAGCAGCAGTGCCGGGGCGCGGCGGGGCTCGCAGCCGGACATGGTGCCGGGAGCCCGGGCCACGGCGCCGTGCGCGGGCAGCTGGAGCCTTTTGTTCCCGGCGAGCGCAGCCCGAGGCTCCGCCGCCCCGCGCCCGGGCTCCGCTCCCCGGTGCCTCTGGCCGCCGCCCCCGCCGCGTCCCCGCCCCCGGGCCGCCCCCTCCTGGCCCCGGTGCCCGCTCGGCTCCGGCCCCGGCTTCTTTGTCTGCGGCTCCCCCCGCCCGCTCCTGACAGCGCCGCCGGGGAGGGGGCGAGGGGAGGCGGCCGCGCCCCGCCCGGCCCCAGGTGCGCCGAGCCCGGCCCGGCCGCTCCGCGCCCCCGCCCGGCTCTGCCGAGCCCCAGCGGCCCCGGCAGCGCTGCTCGGGCTCCTCGCCTTCCTCCGGAGCGCCGCAGATGGGAGAGCTGAGAGAGCCGAGGTCCCGTGGAGCAGGACCGGGGCACGGCAACCCCGGCGCGGTCCGGTCCCCGTAACTGAGCTCTGTGCGCTCAGAGCTCCGTGGAGTTCTGCCCTGGAGCTGCTTTCCCACCCAAATTCCAGCACTGATGCTCCTCCGTCCTCCTCGCTCCCTAGGCCCTAATGTGTCCCTCTCCATCCCTCTGTCCCGAGGTTCCAGGGCTTGGGACAGGAGAGGGAGCCCTCGCTGCAGCAGCCTGAGGAAGAGCTGCAGCCCAAGAGCAGAGCCCGCACAAACCGGGAAAAGCAAACCCAAGGCGACAGCAGAGAGCTGAGGTGACAGAACAAATGCATCTCCCTCTACACAGAGATATCCAGGAATGATTCCTCTGATCCCTGCCGGAGAAATCCCAGGCACCCCAGAGGGGAATTCTTGCACCGGCAATAAATGAAAACCCTCAATGTAGTTTGAATCAGATTTTTCCCCCAATACACCTGGCTTACACGCACAAATAGTGCTTAGATTTTTATCTTGTGTGAAACTGAGGCTCATTTTGATGTCTTCTCTTAAAAGTCAAGTCACTAACTCAGCTTTTTGATAAATTCAGTTACCTTTAATAATGGCTAACACTGTGAGATGTGGCTACATTTTTCCACTTAAATCTATCCCAAACCAGCACTGTCTCATTTCTGTGGAGAGGCAGAACAAACCTAGAAAAAGAACAAACCCTTTTTGACAAATTAGACAAGATGAGACTCTAGAAGGACAGGGGTCACTTCCCAAGGAAATAATGAGCTAGGAACTAAGAGAAGGAACTTATTAGAAAGTGCATTACAGTGGAATGGTTTAGGTTTTGTTTGTTTGTTTGGGGATTTTTTTTGGAGACAAACTGAAACAAGCAAAGAAAAAAATCTGGTAATTGCAAATTGTTTTCCAGTTTCTTCCTATTCTCAGCTACAAACACAGACCCCTGCCTGCAGAGCAGCCTTACTGAGCCAGCCTCTCCTCAGGGTGACACTTCAGGGCATGTTGGGATCCTTTGTTTAAAGATTAAAGGAGGCAAAATGAAAATAGAGCACCTTTGCTGTTCCCATGGCATGGCAGAGATCAGGTATGTTTGGGCTAGAAGAGTATCATGTTTTCAAAAATATTAATTCATGAATTACCTCTACACTCAATCCATATCTTTCTAGAGCAAACCATAAACGGCTCATTAGAGACTTGTACATGAGATCTATGGGGAATGTACCAAAAACCCCACAAAATGCCACTAAACACCCGTCCTGCCAAGCACAGGAAAGAGCTTTGAAGAAGCCCTGGGTAAGGACTTTGAACAAGCAACAGGATTCAGCAATGGATTGATGCAGGCAGCAAAGTGCAGTTCTAAAATGGAGCTCCATCACCTCCAGAGTAACACACAAATGTGCATGTGTACATCTCAAAAAGCACAGAGAGAAATCACCCTTATGTGGAATACAGCCCTTTTGAATTGCTCATTCTTTTAAAGGAGAGATTTCTCCTAAATTGAAGATTTTCCATTTGATATTTACTGACTACAAGAAATCTCAGGCAATTACAGCCTCTGAAGACTGCAAACCATCTTCTAATTATGAAGGTATGTGCAATCCTGTAAATAAGGCTGGAATCAACTTGGTCTGAAAAAAAAAAAAGGAGGCTTTAGATATAATTTCAAACTATTTACTTACTGAAATGGAATTTTCTGTGCTTGCCAAAATGAATCCCATTCAGTGTGATGCAACAGGTGTTGGAATTCCAGCAGCCGCCTGCAACCCACATCTGGTAATGGTTAGGAGTTAAAAGGAAGTTCTGTAAGAACTGCTCATGTATAAAAACTATTCATCAGTCACATCTATGGGCCATATTCACCCACCCGCTTGCTCTGTGCATAGCTCAGATTTTTATTTCGTTTACAGAAAACGTAATTCTGCTCCTCATAAAGTCTCAGGAATCTCAGGCACTTGGGAGCATGTGGGGGATTGGTGTTGGCCCTGCTGGTGGCAGAAAGGTGAGGGAGGGACAGGGGTTTAGGGAACAAGGTGTGAATCCATCTGTATTGGTTCTGACTGGACCGAAATTCACACCCTGATCGCTTCTCATCATTGCCCTGCAGGAGAAGGAATCCTCCCCTATGTCCCAAATACCTCATAAAAAAAACCTGTGCAATGTGAAAATTATCAGACAGGGATTTGTCAAGGAAAAAAAAAATAATTTCCAAGTACTGCCACTCACAGCTGGGAATCCTTCTGCTTTTACCTCAATTGCCAGATTGAACTCAGTCAGACAACTCACAGGATACAAGGGGTAGCACCAAGCCATCAATAATTAGCCCTTGCTAACTGCCTCAGCATGAGTGGTGCCACTCACTTGTCACTCAGATGATCAGATTCAAAGGTATAAAAGGTAATTTTCACTTGCTTAAAGATTTTAATGCATGTAAATTGTGCATAAAAGATACTGCACTAAACCCAAGGCTATTAATCACTGAGCTTTAAGTCCTGCATACACTAGAGTTCAGTAGAAGGTGGGTGAAAAATAAAAAAGCCATCAATTTCCAGACTCATTTCTCCCCCTTTCCCAGTGGAAAAACATTCACCTCTGTCATTACACAGCACCAGCCAAGAACAAGGCCTTAGTTAATTTTTACAGCATTATATTCATGGTAAAAAAGCCACACCTATTCTTTAACTCTGAGTTTTGTTCTCCCTTCATTTTTCTCTGACAGACAAACAGAGATAGCAAAAGCAGAAACTGATAACTGCAAAGTGTCCCAGGCTTTGCCACACTCCTGCACCTCCCAGCACTGAGGAAAATGGTTTAACATCAGTCCAGACAGGGTGGCAGAAACCAGGCTGATCCTGCCCCCCAGGAATACAAACATCTCTAGAAGAAATTATAAGGAAAGGATAATTAAAGAGCACTTTTCAACTAAGACTGTGATCTAAGTAGCATATAACAGGATAATGATATTGAGAACATAATTATTAAATAGTTCTGTCAAAAATGGTTATTATTCATCTCTAGAGCAAGAGAGTCTGATCTTTCACAGTAATATAACATTTTAATTCCTGAAAAAGTGACTAAAATAGTACTAGGAAAGCATTCAAATGGAGGATTTTGAATGATTTAGAAGGAAGAGCACTGTGCTTATCAGAAGGGGCTGTCATTCAGATGTTTAGTCAGAAATAATTTCCCAATTCTCTTCTCAGCTCCTACATGACTGGTGAAATACAATTTGTGTATAGTCTGACTGAACAGTAGAGCCAGCTCCCATATGCAAGAGTTATTAAACAAAGGGATTAAGGAATTTTATATCCTACAGGCCGTCTCCAAGCATACATTGTCTTTATAAATTAAAAAAATTAGTTATATCTGAAGGGGCAACCATAACATAGAAAACTAAAGATCTTGAATGAGCAGGAAACTCAGATTTTGCCTATACATTATCACAGAAATATTTTAAAAAGAAACTGATTAGAGGCATTTGAGCCCACTCTGCAAACCTCGTGCTGGCTGTGCAGACCACACACAAATGCAGCGGAAGAAACAACCTAAAATAATTTCTGTGAGTTGAACAGGAATGCTCACATAATCACTGGAAATGCTCTTAATTGGTGTGGCTCAGTGGTGCATTTCAGAGCTGTTAGATCTTCTGCCCCTCTGGAACTCTTTTCATGTCCTGGCAATCCCAGCCCAGCCAGCAGTTTGTTTATCATATTCAGGATGAATTTCCGGATCTCCAACAAAGTGGTATTTACTCCGAGGCAGGGAAGACTGCAGTAATCCAATAAGTTCTCATTAGCCTAAAATGCAAAAACATCTGCTGGGGTCATGAGCTGCTTTGCTGCTGATGAGCACAAGCTCAGCTCCCTTTGCGGCTCATGTGAACAAAGAGTTGAGGGTTTGGGGTGCGGGGAGGGGACAAAGGAACCTTGGGGATTTCCAGAGCTGCAGCTCCACCCCAGAGCACCCCAGGCAGGAGGGATCCTGCATTGCCTTCACCCCAGAGCCCCCATTGCAGGGAGCAGGGGAATTACAGCAAAAAATGCCTTGACTCAGCCCTCCTGAGCTGGGGGTCAGGGGCTGGCACAGAATGTGGCCACAGCTCCCCCAGACACACCAGCACCCAGGCAGGGCAAGCTGCAGGGCAAATCCAGCCTAAAATCACTTCTTAAACAACCAAGAATTCTGCAAAGGACAAATACTTCCATTTCTTGCTATCCCTTCCTCCCAAGCTCTCACCCACCTGGCTCAATTCACAATTGCTTTCAGTTTTTGGAGGGAAAAAAAAAAAATCCCTTCCTCCCAAAAAGCACCTTAACACAGGAATGTTAACAACTGGTCAAGAACTTCTGGCCTAAAAGATGAATAAATAGGTAATAAGCACTGCACAAGTTCAAACAAAACAAAATTAAATCTCCATTGATAGATGTTACAGTAAGGAGAACATCATTAATTCCACAGGGGAAAAAAAGACACATAACCTGAATAAAAAGAGCCCTTAATTTGTTTAGGATTCCAACCGATTTAGAGCATGTGACATTGTCAGAAAATAAGTGGAAAATACAAAATAAGTGGTGTCACATCTGTTTAGCTCCTGCTCCAGTGATTCTGCAGTTCTTTGCTGTTGTTTGTACAGTGCTAAATGACAGCAGCCAATTCTGTGAATATTCTGCAGCATTTCAAGGTGGAGGAGCCTAAAACACTTCTGCAAAGAGCCAAACCAGGACCACTTACAAACGACATCGGTGAAAATCAGGAAGAAAAAGTCTCAGTTCAAAGTAGTTTAAAAGCGTTTCCTGGAGAGGCCGAGCTGCTTTAGCTAACACTTGTTGTACCATTCGTACAAAGAATTACACAAGTGCTCCTTTTAAAGAAGGGCCAGAATGCTGAAATGAATGCCTTAGATCCTTCTGAAACAATGAGCGCACATCCCCGGGCACAGAATTGCTGTGGAGCCGCAGTTTGGCTGCAGCCCCAGGACTCCCCTTTGCCTCGTGGGAGGATGAGGAGGGCAGCGAGTGCCGCCTGCAGCGGCAGCGGGGCTGAACCCCCGCA